AAGCTTATTACGGTGATCTACATACCCAGGGGGAGGTAATTATTGTAATGTACTGACCCACAGGAAGATAATTATGATTTATTAACCAAGGGGAAGGTAATTGTGGGAATTTACTGACCCAGTGGAAGGTAATTATGGGAGTTTACTGACCCAGAGGAGGCAGTTATGGTCATTTACTAACCTAGGGGGTGGTACATATATGAATTTACTAACCCAGGGGGAGGTTGTCTTGTCAATGTTGTAACAGCCAGCGTAACAGGGCGAGTAGAAGGTGATTCCGTCTACTCCACATACAGGGTTGTAGTTATCTGCCTGGGTACAGCTACAGTTCCTATAGCAGCTGTCTGAACGAAAACTACCCAGGAACTTGGTCCTGAAATGAAATATGAGGCAGGCTTTACGATATGAAAGCCATAACTCACACACTGGACATAACGTTCACAACCATTCAGCATGATGAAAGCCATCTTGAATATATTCCTGCTTTGATTTTTGACCACAATACCTGTAACCTTCATTTCACTTATATGTTATAACTATTACGCTGTAAAAAATAAGAAATTGACATAACTTAAATTCATTATTGACTATCACCATTGAGGAAGTCTGGTTTAAGCCAAAATATTGGTACCAAGAGTGACCATTTGTTTCATCAAAAATTGGCCAAAAAATATTTGAGTAGGTAGGTAACTGGAAACAAACAATATTCTTTATTTGGCCTTATTAACCTCATATTAGCAAGTCTTTTAATCATAAATAATATACAACATTTGATATAGTGCCCTATCTAGCTAACATAAGCTACTCTAGAGCGCTTTACAGTACATATAGATATATAATTAATTCAATTAGCATATACATTAATCAATACAATTTTGAGGAATTCGCAGGTACTGCCTCATCAGGCGCTAACTACTAGTCCTATGCCACCTGGCTAATATCTCCCTATGTGTGTATGCTTGCTGGAGATGTTATGTGTTCTGTTTGTAGTGGGACTGTGCTTCCAACGGCATCATTTATAGTGCCACCTCACTTGAATGCTACTGCACAGATACAGCAACATCCGGTATCTTATCCAGAAATACAAACCCTGAGGAGCTAGCTTGACCATACTCAATGTTGACACCAGCGAAGGGTACACTTGGACAGTGGATGAGAAGGAAGAGGCCTAGAACTGTGGACGTCATCATCAGTCCCACACAGAACTTCAAAATCCCTCTTACTGACAGGTTAAACCTTTTTACGATGAATCCGCCCATGAATGTACTTAAGCCACCGGCTGGTATAATCGCCGCACCTAAATTTGTACAAAAGTATGAATAACAAGATCTCGTTGATGGTAAAAAGGAAATATGCAAAAGTTTCGTCAAAGCTCAATAGTCAATATTACTTAACTTTAAAATATAAAAAAATATTAATTTCACTTTTAATAGTAAAAATGTATTCTGTTGATCAGCTTTTTCACAGATTATTTTGGGATTATCAAAACTATTCCCCCTTAAGCTTCCCCATCAACAGTAAATGTATATGTAGTGACTTCTTTAACTGTCACAAGTGGTCACTAGTGTAAATGCCTGCAGCTTTAACATTCCACATATCAAGCCTATACCTTTCAAATAAATTATGATGATACGCAAAAATGTCTGATGCAGAAATAAATTCCATTTTTATCACAGTACCCTATGTATAAAACAAAATAACTTTTTGTAACTAGACGGTAAAATAACGACAGTATTCAATTATCGCCTTTGGCTGAGGTCGATACCTGGATTTATCAACTAGAGAAAAGAAATATTAACCGAGGACGCAGTCCGAGGTCAATATTTTTTTTTTCGGGTCGATAAATCCAGGTATCGACCGAAGTTAAAGGCTACAATTGTTTTATTATTTTCATTTTTTATTTTTATATGTCAGCAAAATAGGGGGGAAAAAAAGCCTCGGAAGCTGAACGGTTTGGAGACACGTCATAATTCTATTTTTAGAAACACCCAGTTCTTCAAAAAAAATCATGCGCTCAAAGTCGATATCGTTTTTTATCGGTGGACACGTGGACACTCCTGGCCAATCACTTGTCGGGAATAATATGAAAAAATAATAAAAGAGTATATCTCACCAACATAGAGCGCAGCAGTGGCAGCAGGAAGACTGAACTGGACTTCTGCAAATTTGGGCAAAAATGTGGACGACCCCGCCAGAACAAAACCTGTAATATCAATGAATCAATTACTATATATACATGTACTGGAAAATTGTCTTCGCAGTTTAACCTTCGGCTTTTTTTCACCCAAATTATATCAAGATGTGCAATTTATTGGAAGGTGAGATTTATCTTCATTTTAAAGGGCTATATTTCTCTACCATAAGAATCAGACAAACAGATTTCAAAACAGACAGACATTATATAAAGCCATCATAAGCCCTTCCAGTCCAAAGGACTCAAACCTTTGTTGCCCTTTGACTTTGGTAAACTATTCAAGCTATAAGCTACTGTATATAGGGATATGTTCCCCACGATTTGGCTTCCGCCTTTTTCGCCCTACACAATGACAGCGAACACTAGAACGCAACATACAGTAGTAATTACATGCGAATGGTGAAATTTGTAAATATTTAACTGGGCAAACATGGATTTTATTATCATTAAAGGGCAAATATTTTCCTGGGCAAAATTTAAGTTTCTATGTAAACAGCATTTTACTTACCCTCTGTCGTTTCTGCTAAGGTCAGGAACACAAATGTTGGGTTCATAAAAAGAACCTTGAAAGACTTATATACGCCAAAACAATTAGTTGTAGTCTCCCCAACCCCTTCCCCCATCTGGTCCCCGTCCCCCAGGGATCTGTCCGACTGACCCCCAGTCTTATACGTCTCCTTCTCGCGCCCTTCCTTGTAATCTGTAGTCTCTGAAAAATATTACAAAATTATATCACATATGTTCGAATATTAACCACTCAATGATACTGCAACTATATAATGCTACTATAAGTTTAAATGGCATTCACATCAGCTATGAATGCCATTGTTCATGTGTTGATGTCAACAATATTAAGACATCGTAATTATAATGTTGTATACAATTGACCTTACCTTGAATATATATGGCTGTTCTATTTATCGAACAAGCATAATGATGCATACATTTATTTGAGTTTGCACATCTTAACTTTGATCAATCAAGTAAATTTTTTACGATATTAGATTGGGCTTCATGGAATTTGTCAGCATTCCAATTGGCATTCATATTGACTATGAATGCCAAATGAAAGCAGTTCAATGCTTGAGAACAATAAAATTATTCACTTTTCATGAGGATTACATTACAGATTCATCTGTATTTGAAAAGTAGCAATAGCACATCACATGGATAAAGATAGAACAGACAGAAGTTTGATGATGTAAAGTGGATAATACATGATGTGGGTGAGATACCGGTAGGACAGTCACAATTAATATATCAGAAATTTAAAGCTGGTTTATTTTTCTTCAAGGGATCAAACTATCGATAATGTATATCATTGAAAAGGTTCATTTAGCAGGAATGTAAGGTATATGTGCAAGTTTCATTAAGTCACTGCCATGTAAAAACTATTTTCTTACTCAGACAGTTTCCCTGACATTCTGCCAGCGTGGTCACTGGTTACATTAGTGCTATTGGAATATACTTCCCCTTGTTCACCTCAGTGGTGAACAAGGTGTCTTAAACCTGGCTGAGCTGGTGAGCCCCCTCGTCTCTGTTCATAACGGGCCCCTGTTTTATGATCAGGATGGCCTCCTTCACGTGTCCCCCACTATTGTGGTCAAGGGGAAGTAACTCTCACAGCACTAATGTCACCAGTGGCCAAGCTGGCAGAATGTCAGTGAAACTGTTTGGGTAGAACATCGTTTTTACATTGCAGTGACTCGATGAAACTTGCACATATATCGATTATGTACTTGTATCATTCACAAGGTGACGCTTAAAGTCAGACCCCTTCGATTTCCTCAGAACATATTTCAGGGGTACAAAGAACATAAGTGAGTGCAAATCCAATCTATTTTGACGATTGAGTTGTGCTGATACATAGGTATGTTACCACCAGGACTGTCACTATGTTTACATACTTGGTAAGATTCCGGGGAAGCCCATCAACGGGATAGCCATCAGAGCGGCCAATAGAGCACCAAACAGGAAGCCCACCCACCAAGCACCAACAAAACGGGAACTCTCGGAGTTCACCGTCACCCTGGAAATGAGAGAATAAAGAATTAAATACATTGTACTTAAAACCTGGTTCATAAATAAATAACTTATTATTCTTTAAGCATTGTTTAGGAACATGACATTATAGCTACTTATATTAATTTATTGTAATACAGTTGAACTTTTTTAGTCTGGACATTCTGGTTTTCAAAATTTTGGTTAGCACAGTCAAACCTCAGGTCATGCAACCAGACCCATAAAGAGACCACCTTTGTTAAGAGTCCAGCTTTCATGTTTCCTCTTGTAATGATTTAATTGTGAACTGAACCCCAATTAAGAGACTATCTATGTTAAGAGAACACCTTTAACGGTTTTTCATCCTAAAGTTCACAATTTTGGTCTGTTATGTGTTGTACTTACTTTTGTATCCTATCAATGTCAACATAGTAACTAAGGGAAATAGCACCGATGATGTAGCCAGCAGCAGGACCCAGCACATTACAACAATGATATATACCTGTAAAATGAAAGTACACACTCCGCACATTATAACAATATTATATACCTGTAAAATGAAAGTACAAACCCAGCACATTATAACCATGATATATACATGTAAAATGAAAGTACATACACACCACATCATAGCAATGATATCATATTGCCTGTAAAATGATAGTTCATACTCTGTGAATAGTGAACCTATAAGATGATTGTACAGCGTACATCCTCAGCATATTATGACAATGATATATACAACACTGTACATGTAAAATGAAAGTACAAATTAATCAAGACTCAAACAGCTACTATAAAAATGAAATTACTACAACAATCGACATTTAAATTAAGAGGAAACATTTGAAAACATACGTTTACTAACAATGATTTCAAACATAATATATACAGTGGAATATTACCCACTTATTTTGATATCGGTTATTATGATAAATCGTTTATTATAATATTTTCCCCATGTACCGATTTTTTCCTTCTTTAACTAAGCAAAAAAAAAGTTTATTATGATATGGTCAAAGGTGGGTTTATGGTTATCATAACATTTAGTTTCTCAGGCAAATAGAATTTCAAAATTAGCGGGTTCCACTTTAACTGTAAAGAGACCTTAAAATAGTATACTAACAATGATTTATTGTAAATACATATGATATAAAAGAATATTAAGATTATATTGCAAAGTGAAACCTTTGCAAACATAATGTTGTACTGTATAGCGGTAATATTTCGCGGGAATTTTAATTTCGCCATATTTGCGCTTTGACTAATATCCGCGAATTCTAAACACCAGTGAAATTATCCAAATTTTTTTTAACACTTTTACGGACCTATCATAACATGTCGAAAATATTTATAACCCAATGCTGTTACGCAAGCTTAAATGATCTCAAATCAGATTATCACCGGACGACTGGGCAGTCCGTGTAAAAACAAAACTTACATGGTTGGTGATAACAGTTAACTCCTACAAAGGTACATACACATTTGATTTTCTTTCGAGTGAAGTCACTGGCGGATGAAGACACTCGGGATTAGTGTTTTAAAACGGTTTACCTGTATTTCAAGTTTATCCCTTAAATGATGACACTCAGAATTTTTTGCACGACACAAGGAATTCGGGTGAACAGAGAAATTTAGCCCACACAAATATGTACTGAATACGGAGCAGTGGAATATTGACCCCACGAATTTAAAGCGCTATACATTATTACCTGTACGTTAATTAATACAGGTCAGAAGTTAAAGCAGACAGACTCCAGTATTAATTCCAAACTTGACTTTAATTTGTAGCAGGACAGAAAACTGATATTTGTTGTCCAGAAAACATTATGTGTATGGACGGATGGGTTGACAGACACAGTGTTAATCCCACATGACTACAATTCGTAGCAGAGTGGAAAAACTGACATTCTTGGCTGCGCGCGAAACCATTGACTGAAATGACCTTATCATTATCAATATTGACATTTTTAAATGATCCCTTGAGGACTTACCTAAATACAAGGATGCGGAGCGGACAGGAACACTCTCATCCAGAAAAGGCTGGGCTAAAGTGAACAAAGGCACACTTCCGACTCCCATTAACAGCATTGCCAAGTAGAACACAAATTTGTAGTCCGAGACGGAGAGATTGCTGGCGGAGGGCGAGTACGTCGAACACGATGATGATCCATTCATCAGACATAGCAGATTGTCATCGACACGTCCAAAATTGTACACGTCTGACGTGAAGTGTGGTAATGAAAAGATGAAAGAGCCGGCAGCTATGGACAGAAGACCAAGGCTAAGGTAGCGTGACTTCACGCCGATACCGCCGAAATAACTGATCGGAATGAGACTGATTGCTGACATGATGTCATAGCAACTGGCGATCAGGCCCGACTCGGAGCTGCTGAGGCTGTAACGCTTCTCTAGTGAGGAAATCACCACGCTGATAAGGCCATTTACAACCATTCCCTGTAATGACAAAAAAGAAATAGGGAAATAGACTAGTGATTATATAAATGCAATGAAATTTAAACTCCGGCTGTTTCTGTATGTACATACCTAGGTAAAGAGCCGGTGGAGACCTATTGGGGCGGTTAAATCACATGAAGTATTAGTCTATATATAGGAAGCACACTAAGTGTGCTCTTTTGAGCTCAATTGCTCAACACCATAACTGTTCAAGTACATTTTTTAATTGATTATTTTAGTGAAGATGATTTTGCATAAACATGTATATATATGCAAATTGGTAGTATGTCAGCCATTGGGGGAAGGTGAATTGTGGTTGCTTGTCACGGGAATGGAACAAACGAATGAGTAACAAGCTATTATCCCACTTATGTCTCGTGTAACGAGGGAGAATTTGATTCTTTATTCAGTGTACAAGGGGACATCAGCGATAAGGTGTGGTCGGATGGCCAGTGGATAACGCACTCACTTTTCACCAAAGCAGAAATGATTTCATTCCCTGTTCAGACGTGAAAAAGTAATGATCAGTCACCTGCCCAACCATGTGGGTTTTCTAAGTGTAGCTCTGGTTTTATGCTGAAATTTAACTTTAATACATTGCTATTATAGTGTTTTATATTAAAGAAGCTAGTAAAGTAATGTTTTCTTTAATTTAACGCTCTGGAGTTGTTCATTATATATATATATATATATTGACCGTCTTTCTTATTATTGTGGGAACAAAAAATATAAATTATTTCTCAAATTTCAATGTGCTACGTGGGACGCACTGTTTGTCAATGACAAACAAAGAAAATCTTGAGGTTGGCCTTGTCGTAATTTGATATATATTACATTGTACATCAGCAATATGCAGGTCTAACACACCAGCTAAAATTAATATCTACTCTGGAAAATATGAAGTTCTTTATTTTGGGCTGTACTGTACAACATATTGATTCTGCAACCTATATATGCAAGAGTTACCTCCCTTCTTATGGAATTTATCCAATTTCCATCCATTTGCCAAATGAAAACTGTGTTCTGCTAAAATCAACTTAGCCTTCATCTTTATATAAGAGGCCCATGGGCCTTAACGGTCACCTGATATATTTATACAGAGAGTTGATTTTGTTTTTTCACGAACAGAAATATTATTCAGTGACAAAAAACAATAAAACCACCTTATTCAAAATCTAGCATACAGATTAAAGACTAAAAGGTATTTGATACTAGCACCTAAACAAGGAAAATGAAGAAATTTTAGCACACTGACTCCTTTGGGCCCCACCCTACAGCCCTTGGGGGTAGGGCTGGCTCAAAACTTTCAAAGTATCAAACTGTCAACTCAGGGTTGTAATTCCAATCAAGTTATTAACATGTAATATTCGACGTATCATTTGCCATTATAAACCATAATCAATTTTCCCCCCCCCCCTCCTTCCCCAGGGGGTAAACGTGAGACCCTAGGGTCATAAACCTTAAGACCCTTCCATCTATGAAGAGTGTTTGATTCTACCATATCTGCATGGGTCTTTGAGAATTCTTTTTGAAATTTCAGTCAATTCAACACTTTTTGGCCCCACCCATCAGCCCTGAGGGGTCAGTCAGGGCTTTTATGTGCATACCATCAAACTACTATCCAATACTGATAATGCTAACCCAAATTGAATTACTTCCAATGAAAATTAAACAAATGTTGGTCCAAAATGTGATTTCCCTATATAAACTATAGTAAAGTTTACCCCCTCCCCAGGGGTAAGCTTGAGACTCCAGGGTCATAAAATTCACAATTTTGGTAGAGCACCTTAAGACCCTTCCATCTATGAGGAGTGTTTGATTCTACCATATCTGGGTCTTGAGAAGATTTTTGAAATTTCAGTCAATTCAACCCTTTGTGGCCCCACCCATCAGCCCCGGGGGGTCAGTCAGGGCTCCTATGTTCATACCATCAAACTGCTACCCAATACTGATAATGCTAACCTAAATTTAATTTACTTCCAATGTAAATTAAACAAATGTTGGTCCGAAATGTGATTTCCCTATATAAACTATAGTAAAGTTTACCCCCTCCCCAGGGGTACACGTGAGACCCCAGGGTCATAAAATTCACAATTTTGGTAGAGCATCTTAAGACCCTTCCATCTATGAAGTGTGTTTGAGAAGAAGATTTTTGAAATTTCAGTCAATTCGACCCTTTTTGGCCCCACCCAATAGCCCCAGGGGGTCAGTCAGGGCTCATATGTGCATTTGAGAAATTTTAGTCAATTTGACCCTTTTTGGCCCCGCCCCACAGGCCCCTGGACCAAACCGGCAACTATTTTTGTTGACCTTTGGCCATGGAAGGTTTCTGCAAAATTTCATTGAAATTGGTTCAGGGGTTTTGGAGAAGAAGTCGAAAATGTAAATTGTTTACAGGCGCACGACGGACAACGAACGACGGACGACGACGGACAAAAGGCGATCGCAATAGGTCACTTGAGACTTTGTCTCATGTGACCTAAAAATGTAAATGCTAACAAAGTTTCATCAGAATCCAGTCATATTTGATTGAATTTTTGTGTAGAAACCTGCATCCACTAATTAAGTAGTGTAGTACTTAATCTAAGCAATTATGCATGGATTTGCTCAAATTCAAACTGCCAGCATTAGTTTTCATTCTTAATTTGTTGACACAAAAAAAAATCAAAATTGGATAATATTTATGCAAATCATGATGCAGAAACGAAACTGGACAGAGGGGATAAACAGACAGATGGACAAACAATTGCAAGGTGATTATATAACTATAGGGCACCTACATTCTATGACCAGTGTATTCTCTGACAAGATAGGAATAGTTATTTAAGGAAATGTTACCCATCATGCAATGGCACCAAAACATTCCACAGAGAGGGGTGCAGAGAGCGTAAGTGAGGGGTGGCAGAGAGCATAAGTGAGCATAACCCCTGGATATCGAGGATGATCGAGGCCCAGCAAGTGTATTTTTCATAAGAATTTCCAGTTTGCCTAACCTTCAGCCCCTTCTACCCTTTAGGGACCATCCTCCTAGAGCCTCATGCCACCCAATAAGTTGTAATCCCTACCAACAAAAGAAATATCAAAGAACCCTTTTTGACTACAATTAGGGCAAGAAAACATCTTGTATAATATTGTCACAATATGGACAATTGAAGGTAAAACATGGCTTCAAAATAGTTCATATTATTACAGTTTTCAAGGTTCACTAGGAATTTAATAAGCCTCTTTTATTACATTCCATTCAGCATTGTTACATACAGAAATCGGTAAATTACCATTCTGTGTCACATGCTCTGTAGCCAATATTGCAGCCTGGCCATAAGTCAACAGATGTCACCAATATAATGAATTCTACGAATATTTAACGACAATATTTATTTTTATCCCGGAATAAATATAAGACAGGGATATAATTGCATCCTTTAAGATCGTAAAACACATCTAGTTTGCATTATACTTTGTTACATTCAATGTCAAAATAGACCAGCTCGTAACGAATCTGAAATCTCAGCTCAGTGTTCATGTATACCCAATATTCATTTATCGTCCATTTTTCGCTTCCCTCCTCTGGGGGATTCGTTTCTATTACTAATTGCCCTATTGCATATTTATACATATTGATACAAGTGTTGAAGGTCTGTGTACATTTGTTATTCAACCGTGAAGGTATCAAGAAGACAATGGTTTAATATATGGTAAATAGCAAGAGATAGTGTTACGATCCTATTTATGCACAGTTGCCTAGGCATCCATTAATTATAAAATGGAATATGTGTATTAGATTTTTGTAATATAACTAGTGGAATGGACTGGACATTAATGTAGAACATCAATACGAAAAACAAACCGTGTCACTCTCTAGTCTGTTTACTACTCATACATCAATATCTATTCAATTCTAAATCACTTTGTTGAATGATAATGATTATTTATCATAGACGAAGGTCAGTTACAGACGGCGGTCAGCATCAACAAAACGCTGTGATGTGTCAGATACCGACTCTGTGCATTGGTTTGTTACAAACCTAACTTCATAGTGTCCATAGTCTGTGAAATTTATACACATCAGACATATATCTCTTACATCACATGACTTTCGTTATTCTTTTTTGCGGGGTTCTAATTTTCACAATTTTTTCTGTCCAGAAAATTACAATCCATGAAACTAACAGCAAATTAATCCATCGTTACCATAATATGCTGTACCAAGGCCACTTATAAGACCTGAAATCGAGGGAAAATAGATCCGACCGAATTGACTGACCATTTCTGAAAATCCATGAAAATAAAGGAGAGCAAAAATTAATACATTTACAGTACTGTCTCATGTCAAACTTCAGACATTTGTCTGCATGAAATTTTAAACTCTACAGACAGGAATTACATATTACATTCATTAGAGTGTGACAGTGGCGGATCCAGAGGGGTTTTTTGGGCTTCAGGAAAACCCCCCCCCCCGAGATTTTTCTTTAAAAATCATGTATTTTCACCATTTTCCTCAATTTTTCCCCACATGGGAACCCCCCCAGGAAATTTGGAAACCCCCCCCAGATAGGTCTCTGGATCCGCCACTGTGTGAGATATGCAGTGCCTATAGGGCAACCCATGGTACCACTGTTACCTGTGGGGGAGCCGAGAGTGGCAGTGATAACTGAGGGGTGACCCTTAATTAGCACTGTCACACTCTTAAGGAATGTATATAATATTCATTTCATTTTACAGAAAGTCAAACATGTCGGCTGAAACAAACCATGTGCTTATCTTCTTTGCATGGTCACTTTTTTGCACTGTCATCCACATTGCCAATGGTTGCTAGGGCGTTGGGAAGCACCCTTCCATTGACTCAACATTTAATGTTAAAGTGAATGTGAATGTTACAGGATTTTCACCAGAGGTATAGTAATATGATGCAGCTAAGCTGTTAATGGTTCATTCGACTTGAGAAGAATTTTTTTCAAGAATTTTAGTCACATGAAAAGAAATTTGTATTCTTTGCAAAA